ATCGCCACGCGTCAAATCGCCACGCGTCGAATTACCACGCGTTAAATCACCACGCGTGATATCGCCATGCGTTAAATCACCACGCGTGATATCGCCATGCGTCAAATCGCCACGCGTCAAATCGCCACGCGTCGAATCACCACGCGTTAAATCACCACGCGTGATATCGCCATGCGTCAAATCGCCACGCGTCAAATCGCCACGCGTCGAATCACCACGCGTCGAATCACCACGCGTGATATCGCCACGCGTCGAATCGCCACGCGTCAATTTGCCACGCGTGATATCGCCACGCGTCAAATCACCACGTGCCCTATTATCACATGTTAAATCACGACGCGTTGCATTCTCGTGCTCGTCTACCACTCACTATATCGCCACTCATTATATTGCCAATCTTATCACGTGCAATAATCAACAGAGTCGAATGCTATATCACAATTCATTCCATACTACACCACAAATTTTATTATTACAATAAGAAATTTCCACTGTTACTTCTCCGACCATATAGGACAAGGTAATATAACGAGAGTCTCCAGATAAAAAAATGTTCTCAATTACAACCTGTACCATAATTTGCGAATTTAGTCTGAAACACTAAAAAGATGATTTTTGCAATAGTTTTTATGTGAATGACCCCTTTAAATCATTTAAAAGTAGAACAGCTAATCAGCGCATAATCTTTACGACGTCAAGTCAATAAATTTCAATCGAACGATACAAGTTTCTAGAGTGAACGTTTGAATCCACATCCACGATTAAGCATTTTTCGTTAACAAAAACACACCGTGTGACGAATAAAAACGGTCGATGCAATGCCTTTCACGTTTTAATTCTTTGTTGCCGCAACGCTCCAGTTTCGTAACTGAAAAGAGTTACAGGCAAAATCGATTTTGTATTTTTTACAGAGAGGACCGATGGCTTAACTACTTAGGTATTATCTTAAAATTACTGCTTGCAATTATTGGTACATAGGTTTTAACCATTTTAAGTCTTTCGTAACTTTGGAAACATCCCTGAAGAGATTAAATATGACAAATCCATAAGGAGTGAACTAAAAACCATAGTAAGGACACGTTTCTGAAAAACACTATACAAAATAGTGAACAGAAAACCTAACTATAAAACACAATATAAAAATTGTGATAGTAATCGAAGTAATAACAAATACAAAAGACTATCTGCTTCCCTCCACGTCATTTCTAAACACTATATTTTAATTAACCCATATCCTGCATTTAGATCACTTGTGTACATGGCATTGAAAAACATTTGAGTTTGCATTATCTTGTAGATTAAAATAGAAGTATAAGTTGGTTTTATATCCCAACGGCAAGTAGCACAAAGCGTGAAAAAGCAATCAAGACTGTACCTTGACCGTGACCTCCTGTTTCACAGCACCTGATGTCCGGCTGGCTGTTGGATTACAGCTACAAGTGTCAACCCGTGGACTACTCTCATAACCCGTCCGCATTGCGAATGGCCAATCTGTGTTGGTGGTACTTCATCAGCAAATTCACGGAATTCGCTGACACGGTATGTAACGCGACAACAAATTCTTCACCGAACTTCAACAACCTACGCGAGTTATGCGAACTGCTGTAAAAAAGAATCGTGGAAATTCTAGCATCGGTCGATGACATGAAGTGGTCGCAAAATGACAGTTGATGTGTCAATTTACAGGTCTTCAAGAAATAGCTCGATGTTTTACTTTAGATTCGCGTTATATTGCAAATTCTTGAATTGTCACGCGTTGAGTTGCAGCGCGTTATATCGCCACGCGTTATATTGCAATTCGTTGAATCGCCACGCGTTGTATTTCTACGCGTTATATCGCCATGCGTTGTATTCCCACGCGTTATATCGCCACGGGTTGTATTCCCACGCGTTATATTGCAATCCTCTGAATCGCCACGCTTTGTATTCCCATGCGTTAAATTGCAATCCTCTGAATCGCCACGCGTTGTATTCCCACGCGTTGTACTTCCACGCGTTATATCGCCACCCGTTGTATTCCCACGCGTTATATCGCCACGGGTTGTATTCTCACGC